TGCTACGCGCAACAAATTTCAACATGAAGTCCTCGTCTCAAAAGTATAGCTCAGTCTATTGCAGCCTAATACTAGCAAATTTGGCTGCTTTTATAGCAGTAAGTGAACTTAGGCGACTGTTTGATTTTTTGCCGAGTTTACTGTTCACTGCAGAGAAGAATTAGAGCAATTAACAAGTTGACATGGACAATTGTAATTAATGTCTTAGAAATTCTTGTTGTTGCTAATTAGGCTCTTCTCTGTATTTAGTACAGACCGAAGAGAGGAACTACAACTGAACCCTATCAGTAAGATTATCGTGCTGTAAAACAAATACCGGTACATGTACCTTGCATTAAAAATTTTGTAGGTGAGGATTAAGCTTCAATAAACTGTATCAATTTGTAACGGTAAACGTCTTAAATATTTATCTATTGATCTCTTTGAGATGATCTCAGATGACAAACATCATACGATGAAGATTTTGGATTTAATCACAGACAGTACAAATTATAAAACATTTACTAAACTTCGTCCTAATAGTTTATTCTGAAAGGAAAAAATATTGAAAAAATTGCAATAGTGTGATTAATAAGCAAAACTGTAGGTTACACCAAATGAATTGGTGTTGACATTAAATTTTAAGTAACTGTTCAAGCAAATGTTCGTGTTTTGAAATAACTGTAACCAATAACTCCTTTCCATATTTTCAAAACTGTGTCTGCAGTTAACGCAAACAGAGGAAAAATCGTTATGTATGTAGTACAAGTAGTTCTGGTTTGAGTCATTTTCTGCATATCGCCTCTGCTAGCAAAAACACCCTAAAGTCTTCAGTTTGACCAACTTTAAAATGGCAACTTTTGAATCATTATCTTTACATCAAAACTTTTATCGGCTAAAATTGTTTCTGCAGTGTTGAATTAGTGAAGAAAAATGCTCATTCATTAAAAGCCGTGCATCTGAGTACTTGTAAGTCAAAAATTACGTATCAGTTACCTCTTCGAGCTCTAACTGCAAAAACATTAGCATTTTCTTACTGGACTTGATCTGAAGCATTCAGGACAGGATCTGTGGTAAGGCAGTCCTAGACAGCAGGTTTTAAATATCGTTTGTCCCAAAAGTTATCTTAGGTCAGTAATAAGGCCGAGAAGGAAATGCGGTTGTCAGTGGACAGGATTGAGGTAAATTTTACTCTGCCTTCTGATTTTCAATACTATTTTTATTGCACAGAGCTCAAATATGTGGCGGAAGTTGCATTCCTCAAGTCAAGAAAAATTATTTCTCCCAGTATTTTTTTATTAGTAAACCCCGATAATGGTTTGTCGTTATCACTTTTGCGTCAGCCAGTAAATTATAAATCAGAAAAAAGTCATGTTTCTTCCATTGGCAGTCCACGACTTTTATTTTTATTTTTGAATTGATTGTAGTAGTTTTTTGATTATTATGAGTCGTCACTAGTTTGCTAGAAATTTAAGCTAATTAGCAGGATAGACAGTGTGTCAAAATAAAAGTTTTAAGTTTTGATTAGTTAGTTTTTTTTGGTTCCTCAGAATAATAATAAATACAACTAATAATTTCTGTTGAAATCATTGATATCAAATGGTCAACGGAAATGAGTTACTGTAGTTGAGGTCCGTCAATCCGACAACTGTTTGTTTGAAGAGGAGATGAGTCTTTTTTGTCAGTTTAAATTTTCTGTACTGTTTAAAATGATACAGTGAATCTTTTGGCACATATGGTACCATTTTAGAAGATCAAAGTTTAAAATCAAATTTTCACATGCATTCAGCACCATCTGACTCCCGGTTTTGCATCTGTTAGCCGTCGCCTCCTTAATGTTCTGTCAGCCATT